GCTCCTGTGGGCCATCCAGGGACAGAGACTCAGCTAAGAGATGGGGCCTGTGACACAACCAGTCCTGGTGTTCTTGGAGGGATGACTATCTGAGGGCAGAGCGGCTGATGGGGACACTGAAGGTGCCTGGGAGGCACTGGGCTCTGGGCGCAGCCTCCTTCTTCCATCCCAGGGCCTGTTGCCCCGGTGATCGGCGCTATGGAAACAAGGCGGGGGGGCGGGGAGCGGGTAGGGCCCCGCGGCTCAGTTTCCGCCCTCGGGTACCGCTCCCCCACCCTTCAATCCTGGTCAGGGCTCCCGAGGGAATGGCGGGGTTGGGGGAGGTGAGGGCAGGGAATCTCTGGGCTCCAGAGTGGGAAGAGGGAATGGCGGGAGAAGAGGCGGGGAAGGAGTATGCAGCTGTCCAAGGTGCTGAACCTGAAACCCAAGCTGGGGTGGGCGAGCTAGGAGTTCCCACCGTCGCACAGACCGCTCCCCTCCTCCTGTCTCACCCACCTCAGACACGGACGCCCCACGATTTGGGGGCACAGGAACTCAATCCAAGCTAGGTCCTGCTGAAGTCTGATCTTTTCTCCTTTTTTTCTGGGGGTAGTGAGAGCTGGAGTCTGGGAGTAGGCCCCAGAACGCCCGGCCACTCTGTCCCACTTCTGTGTCTCGGATACCCTCATACACGCCCCCAGCACAGCTCAGCCCAAGAGCGGGCGGCTCCCAAGGCCCCTCCTCCGCTCTGCCGCACAAAGAGCCTCTTCTGCCTCGAGTCACACCCCCCAACCTTGTCCCCCCTGCTCTCGGCCCTTTCACCTCCTCCCCTCGCAGGGCACTCCCAACCCTGTTCCTGCACCGCGGCTTTGGGAGTTCCTAGACCCTCAACTCCATTCTCTCCTCTTGCCTCGGGTCTCACCACGTCCAGGAGACCCGAGACGGCCCCGAGGAGACTTGGTCCCCAGCTAGAAGCCCCAGTCCCGACCTCCGTCCCACTCACGCGTTCCGTCAAAACGGGTGGCGATGGTGTCCAGGAAGGTGTTTTGTGGGGCCAGCAACCCCTTCATGACCGGCATGGCCCCGTGGCGTGGGTTCGAGGCGCGGCGCTGGGGGGCTTTCAGCGCGGCCGGGCCGGAGGGGGCGCGCTGCTGGAGGGGCCGGGGCGCCCCATGCGCCCGCCTGCCTCCTCCCCTCCCTCTTGCTGCGCTGCCGCCGCCGCCGCCGCCTCTGCTCCGAACCCAGTACCTCTCCGCTCAGCGCCGCTTCGGTCCCTCCCACCTCCCCAAGGGCCCGGTTCTTCCCCTTGGACTCGGCCCGCACCGCCACGTGGCCCCGCACGGGGAGGGGCCGCTAGCAACACCCGCACCCCTCCGGGCAGCCCTCCTCCCAGAGGGGAGCGGCCCACGCGTGTCTCTCCGGGAGAGAATTCGGGACACGCCCACCGGGAGGGGAGGCCTGAAATGACGGGTGGGGCTTGACTGATAGACACGCCCTCTTATCTGGTGGCCACGCCCCCACACGTGGTTCCCGGGCTGCTCCTTGTGGCTCCACCTCGCGGGTTTTCCCGCTCACCGTCCACGCTGGGCTGGTGTCTGGTTCACAGTGCCGCCTGCTGGAGCTGAGATATTTCGCAGCACCCCACCCCAGTTGCTCCAGTGTGAGACAGCAAGGCTAGTTTGCTCTTAGAGAATAGACGATGGGAAGGATTGAAACCCCAACTCCTAGAAAGCACTACTAACTCTTGCCTCCTGCCTCAGTTTTCCCAAGACACCCTGGCAAACTCTGCCTACTGCGCACACAGCATGGTGGAATGAAAAGAGTTTTGGAGGCCGGGGACAGTGGCTTACGCCTATAATCCCAGCACTTTGGGAGGCTGAAGCGGGAGGATCATCTGAGGGCGGGAGTTCGAGACCAGCCTGACCAACATGGAAAAAAATCTCACCTCTACTAAAAATACAAAAAAATTTAGCTGGGCATGGTGGCGCGTGCCTGTAATCCCAGGTACTTGGGAGGCTGAAGCAGGAGAATCGCTTGAACACAGGAGGTGGAGGTTGTGGTGAGCCAAGATCGCGCCATTGCACTCTAGCCTGAGCAACAAGAGCAAAACTCTGTCTTAGAAAAAAAAAAAATAATAAAGAAAGAAAGAAAAGAAAAGAGCTTTGGAGTCCACCAGGTAGAGTCCCAGCTCTAGACACTAATCGAGTGATAGCGTCTCCAAGTCCCACTTTCCTCATCTGCAAAATGGAGCTGACAATTCTTACCTGATGCAGTTACCATGAGAATGTAATACCATAATGCATGTCTTTGGCACAAAATAAGTGTCTTGGAGGGTAATTGCCTCCCTGTTTTCCGTTTTCCTGCTGTCTTAATCCTCCTCTCTGCTACCCTTTAAGTGGAAGAGAGGCTGGAGGCAAGTTTAGGAGAAACTACCCCTGAAGAAGATAGTTTCCAGGTGGGCAGAGTCATCGTTTGAAAAACTTTGACCTCTGACTTCTCCAAGATGGAACCAATACAGAGCCAAGAGGGACCCAGGTGAGACTAGACACAGGACTTTCTCAACACCTATGCAGAAAATTGAGGCAGCTGAGTTCTGTGGCCAAAGGTGGCTGCTTCCTATGACAAAACAGCTAAAGCCAGTGAAAGTGAAAACTTTAACGTGCAAGGAGGGCAGGCTAAATTCTGCCCTCCCTCTGAGCTAGGTATTATCTGGGATATTAGATTCCTAAGAAGTGCCACAATTTTCTCTGTGTCTCTACTTTTTTTTTTTTTTTTAAGATGGGGTTTCACCATGATGACCAGGCTGGTCTTGAACTCTTGACCTCAGGTGATCCACCCACCTCGGCCTCCCAAAGTGCTAGGATTACAGGTGTGAGCCA